CGACCGCAGCCAGTGATGCTTGACTTCGGTGATCAGCTGGGAACCGTGTCTTAACGATCAGTCCACTGCGGGACTTTTAACATTGCAACTGTCATTAATTTAACATTGTCCTTTCTTCACGCATAATTGTCGATCCTAATGTGTTTCAGCTGCTCACAATATTTAGAGTGGTGGGAAAATAACAATTACGGTTATTCAAACTGTTTGAAACTTTCCTGAAAGGAAAAGAATCTTAGTGTGATTGAGATCTTTTGCATTAATTCTCATGGAGAAGAAAGTAATTTTAAATCATATTTGTAAATAAATAATAAATGCAAAAGTATGTATTTTATTATCGCTATAAATACTTGCTAGGAAAAAAATCTGCCAAATGGGTGAAAGATTTTAATTTGTTGTTAGATCTTGCTAAAATTATGCGAAATCAGGATCCGTTATCTTTCGCTAAAAGCATAAAAGATCAAGATCTGTTATTTTCACCTAAAAACGTGAAAATTGTTAAAAGTTGTTAAATACTTTCTATGTAAGTTAAAAGCTAACCTTTTGATTTATTTTAAAACTGCCGAGTTGTTATGGCAACGTTACTTCTTCTTTTTGTGGAACAAAAAATGATCGTCTTAAAATTGTTGAGTAAATAAAATGTCGTTATTTTTTACTAAAAGTTGGAGTCAGGTTTATTATTTTGAGTAGAAGAAGAGAACGGCAGAATATTTTACTTTCTGATAGAGTCTCGGAACAGAAATATCGAAATTTCTAGTAATAAATCTATCACTTTTAGTGGAAGATAAAAAAATTCATCGCTGAAAGCGTGAAACATTAAAATTTCTTTTATCAAATCTACAGCTTTTAGTGGAGGATAAAAAAATTTTACCAGTGAAAGCATGAAAAATCTTGATTTGTTGTTGATTATCTTCTACTAAAAGCATAAAAAAATCAATACCTGCCCCTAAAAACACAAAAGATTAAGATCTCTTATCTTCTTCCAAAAACATGAAAGATTGAAATTTCTTGTATCAAATCTACCGCTTTTAGTGGAAGACCAAAAGATTTACCACTAAGATCACAATTTTTTCCCCATTTTGCTGCTAAAACTTAAGATATGTTGTACCAGATTGAGAAAAATGTGCATGCTCCTCAAATGAAGAAGAGATTATTATTATTATAGAGAGTAAAAATAGCACCATTTATATCAAAATTAAAAATAATTCCTTCTCAGAAAAATGGGTTGAAATTTGAACCCTAATGGCGGTATTTTAAACAGTAATATCATGCAAATTCTCTAAAACCTTAATAACATGTGAAATTGGGTACTTTCACTTCAAGAAGAAGATCACAAATACCTACAATTGTGGACCTATGGCGTAAGCGCCAGTTGATCGCTTATAAGCAAAATGACGAGTTAAAGTATAAAGAAAGAATTGAAATCTTTGTAAAAGAATATAGAATGAGTCACCTAAAAGAATTGATACGTTGCGGGCTTGGCTTACTCGAAATAGAATGGAAAGAACAGTTGCTAACGTAAACAAATGGTTGATTGGTTGTTGAAGCCAATCAGGATCGAGATACTCATACTACGTCACTTGCAGGTATTCCATTGAATCTATTTTTTTCCCATTCAAATTAAACCAGTAACCAATAATCAAGTTTAAGATAGATTAAATTCTCCATTTTGTGGTTCGCATTAACAATAAATTAAAGTTTCACCAAAGTTAAACACCATTATGATTCAACGCACAACAAATTTTCTGATAGTGTGTAATAAATATCTATTAAAAATAATCTATATTTTACTCTACCAAAATCTCATTTGGTTAGAGGCAAATTGGTGCGAATAAACGTTGTTGGAAAAAGTAGTTCCATATCAATATTTTTGAGAACTGTTGAGATAACTTTACGTATTTGTCACAATAATTTGATTTGATTTGAAATATAAAGTCAATTGGGAATGATACGAAGCAAAAACTTTGTTATTAATTGTTGCATTGGTGGTGCCCCGTTTTTGTTTTGTTTGTTCATGGCTGAAAAATATTGAATGGATAAAAATAAGAAAAATAAAAAAAAGCATACAAATAAATTTAAAATCAACAATATAAGTATTTTGGCTCTTATCGTTTATGGAAATGTCATTATTTGCCTATGTAAACAAACAACGACAAATAAAGTAAGCATAAACAAGTAGATGTTTTTCTTCTCATTGAACAAAATTCATTTTCCAATGTAAACAAAATATTCATTTCCCAATGTAAGCTTGCAATGTTCATTTTCAATGTAATCAAAAAATAACACACACATTCAATGTAAGCAAAAAATAAATAAAAAGAAGCAAATAAATAAATGAAAAATAAATACATAAAAATAAACAGGTAAAAAAAAGGAATAAATAAATCGAACATGAAATAAATTTTATGATTTTTACAGTTAAACGGAACATATTTTCCTCATTGAAAGATCTCCAAAATGTACTCATGTAAATAAGCTATGCAAAAGCAGAAAAATAGTTTTTGGAACCCTTTTTTCATGCTAAATAATCTTCCCATTTTCTGATGTAAGATATTTAGTTGAGAGTTCTTGGCGAACCAGTTTGGCCACTTATCGCCAATTAAAAAAAAATACTTCCAAAATCGCCAACTAATATAAATAATGGTAGATTAAAGCTACCGAAATGGTGCAGTCATTGGGTTTCAAGTTTACATTCGGCGTAAATATGTTTAATATCGTAAGCGGTTCCTTAAAAGTGGCAACTTCCGTGAAGATTCGTTCTCTGTAAGATGCTTATGAGTTAAAGCATTTTTTTCCGAACGCAATGGGACATTTCCCTCTTTCTGAACATCTACAACAGCATTCATGGAATAATACTGTGAGAATTCATTCTTACTGATAGATTATTCTTGCGAATAACCACACGTAAGAGCTACAATTTCACATTCTATTTTTCTCAGATAAATTACACTGATAACATATACAACAAGTTATTTACGTAATTCTTATTTGCTTATTGTCGTATTTTTATTTGCTTATTTCAAATTATTAAAACATAGCTTTACTGTTTAGGTCTATGACTGATTTTATAATGCGGATAATTTTTGTTAGTTTCATTTATGAGGGATGATCAAGGTATTTGTACTCACTACCACTTAAGAACTTACATTTTAATCAGAAAGTTTTTTTTAAAGGTGAAGTGTTAACAAAAGAAACTTCCTAATTAGCATTTAAAAAAATTTAAAACGATTTTTTGGGAATGACACTATTTATCAGGCTATGGTGAAATCTATTCTAGAATTTTAATTATGTTGAAATCAAATAAAATTCGTTATAATGAATTTATTTATTTCAAAGGGAAATTTATTGAAATTTTTTTTATATTGCAATTTAAAAAAAGCAGAAAAAGATGTAATGTGAGATATTCCTACATTTTTAAAGACTATCTCTTTCTTCATCTTAAAGTAAAAATAAATAAATAAATAAAAATAAAGAAATTTAAAAAAAAAACGTGACAGATAATTTTTTAATATTGCATGCATTATCTTATAATATCAGAAAAATATGGACAAATTTATCTTACGTTGTAGAAGTAAAATATTATGCATAAAAAAAAAAGAGTATAGAAACCTCCATTGAATGCTACATCGTAAGACTTATTATACTGGCATAAAACATTTCATGCTTATTTCGGCATGACATATACCTGCGCAACACTCAAATTGAAGTATTTTCTTAATGTAAGTTAATATCATGGAAAAATTTTGCAAATTAAACAAATAATTTTTAATTCCTGGTTAAAGTTCTGCAGGCATTATAATGTCTAAGACAATTTATACAATATTCAATGACGTTTATAACAAATGTACACATTTGCACATTAACTAATTTTAAATATTTATAATTTCATTTAATAAATTACGAGTTATCCAGTTTCAAATCTTCGTTCGTGCTATTCAGATTTTTTTTTTTATTTTGTTGAAAATGAAAATAACTTCTCTTTTTGAATTAGCGTATAGACTCTAGTTGCTTCATACAAAAAGTGAAAGTAGCTTCTGTTACTGAAATTACTTTTTTCGAGTAAAAAGCAAAAAAAATTGGATAATGAATTGATAATTCATGTATGAATAATCATATTATATGTATCATAGACTTTTCCCATAGAGTATCTAAGGTTTAACAATGCTGTACAATATCGGAGAATATCATGACAATATCTTATAAATTAAATTACAGTTTTATAAAACATTTTACAGCAACTATGAATACCCATTTTGGGACATCATTTTTAAAAATAGGCACATTTATTATATTCCAAGAGGCAGCACCACAAAATGTCGGATCATTTTAATTTATTACGTGTGCACACTACAAGTAAAATTTGTAAGTTTATGTGATAAAGACACGTTTTTTCGAAACGTACTTTACAAGTGTCAGAAATGATCACTATGCCTTAGCACACTAAACAGAAACCTCCTACAGTGTACGGGGAAATTTTTAGGTTTTTAGACAAAACATTCGTATGAAAAATTTGAAAACGAGGCTAATCATTATATTCCTAAAAGCCTTTCAATGATTGCATTTTAATTAAATGGCTTATTATAAGAAAATACCTAGTTTAAATTTTTTTTAAAGAAATTTTTCTTTTCATCCAGAGTAAGGCAACAGTACATCATGCCTTTTCAAAAATATTTAAATCCTTTGCCGAGAGATGGCACCACGCACTTCCTACAAATTTATAAGCCACATCAAAATGCAACATCAAACTATGTTAATTAAAATCTTATAGGTTATTTACAGTAAGTAATATGGAATAGGATATAATTAAATCTTATAATTATAACCTTTTTATTTTTTTTATTTTATTTCCAATGAGCTGCACAATCGGTCTTGCCGATGAGCAGACCTAGTGCGTTCTCCAGAGGTGGTATCCACTCTTTCAGGACCACCTCATTTGGTGAGATACCGTTGGTCATATAATTATAACATAATCCATTCATAGTATTTTTTATAATAGTTTTTGTAAATCAGGGAATGAAGCCCCTTGTATAAATTATCCAATATTTCATGATGCTGACTTTTGGACGATTAGATCAAAATGTGCTTTCTCGTGATATTAGATGACATAAAATATTTAAAGCTATTAGATATTCTGACATAGAATAGTAATTGTTCTAAGCTATTGTTGAAAGAACTAATGCTAGCACAGCCCCTTCTGAGGAGTCATACAAAGAACTCCACTTAAACGCCAAAGCTTCATTGACAGAAGGCGAGATTCCATTTCCCTTGGAATCAATTTAAAACTCAGATGAAGACCGATTAATCGTAACAATGATCGATTCTCAATCGATGAAGACAACATTACTTAAAGGATGCCATCGCTCTATTCTTCTATTAGGATTGCTCATGACATCCAACCAATGGCGTAGTCGTTCTCCTTTAGACTGCATGTTCAAGGCTAGACCCCCTGAAACAGATGGAAATAGTGGAATAATTGTTAACAATGATTACACGCACAAGAATATTCGGTGACAATGATGTCATGTTTTGACATGACATTAAACGTTTTTGCTTCGAAATAATTTCACCACCACTTGTTAGTTTTTAAAATAGTCAAGAAGCACATAGCTTAAATAATAAAAATCAACATTAAGCGCTGGTGGTAAAGGCGTCGATCACTTTGCTGGTGAAGAGCCGGGGTTTGTAAGTTCGATCCAGGGAGCTAACTAAACAACTGACTTGTATTTGCTGAAAAAAAGCACGTTAAATCTGCCTTGGCTAAAAGTAGTCTCGAATCCCGGTGGCTGAGTAGTAGCGCTCTCGTGCTACTGGTCCTGGGTTCGATCCTCAGGCCGGGCAAGGTTGACTCAGCCTTTCATCCTTTCAGTGGGTCGGTAAATGAATACCAAGCATGCTTGGGAACTAAACACTAGGGGTTCCGCGCTCGGCTGACCACCTAACCACAACATCTGCTCCTGCACCCCAGAGCCCAACATCAAGAAAACTGAGATGGGCACAGTAAGCCTTGGCCCTCAATGGGCTGTCNTTACTCGTTACTTTTTTTAAAAATACTTGTACTTTTACTCGTTACTTATTAAAAGTAACGTTGCCATATATGCTGAGTAGTAGCACTTCGCGCTCTCGTGCCACTGGTCCTGGGTTCGATCCTCGGGCCGCGCAAGGTTGACTCAGCCTTTCACCCTTTCAATGGGTGGATAAATGGGTACCAAGCATGCTTGTGAACTAAACACTAGGGGTTCCGCGTTCGGCTGACCACCTAACCACAACATCTGCTCCTGCACCCCAGAGCCCAACATCAAGAAAACTGAGATGGGCACAGTAGGCCTAGGCCTTCTATGGGTATAGTGCACTGAGTTCTGTTTTTAAAAGTAGTCTCGTTAGTTATTGTGAAGAAGTTTAGAAGGAGGTGTGCCAGATCAGAGGCAGTCCACGTTGTCTGACCGGGGTCAAAGTTACGCGGCATTCCTGCCATGATTGTCAAAATATAGAGCCCTCTAAAATGGGGCTTAAGGCTGGACTATGGTTGAGTGGTGTGTAGATCAATAATATTTTATGTGAAAATAGTAGTAAAACAAAACAAAATAATCTAATATTATGATAGACAAACTCTTTACCACTGAAAGTGCGAGTTGATAACTGTTGATATGCTTATTCTACAACTACTATAGACCAATTTCTGTTCATGTTTTCTATTTAATGTAAGTTATAGAGTAAAAAAAACATTACAGAGTGTAAAACATTAATAACGGGGGGTAAACATAAATAATAAATAAATCAGTATTATCCATTAACACTATGCATGCCTGAACAAAACTGAAAAACATCTATTTATAAAAGAAGAAAAAAATTAATTTTTCACATTAACGATCCTGTGTCCACTTAAATTAAAATTGAAGTATAATATTATCTGCTCTCTTTTTTTTATAACCGTTGTTGAGCAGCCGACCCAATTTTGAACTTATAATTATCAATGTTCAACTCCATAGCCTTGTAATTTTGAACTCAATCCAGAAGACAAGGAAACACCAGGATATAGCATGTGGATCAACTAGGCTTCGTGGACGACTTTTTGATGGAATTAACTCGCATTTGCGTTACTGGGAAAACCATGAAAAAAAACCTTCGGTTAGCTTGACGGCAAGGGGACTCTAACCCATAATCCGTCTGCCACTGAGGATATTTAACGTCAGCACTGTGATCGGTGCGTACTGGTTGCGGAATTTTTATCTGCCAGGCATTGCTGGGATTCGAATCTGGGTCACCTCAGATGGGAGGCAAGCTCTCTATCCCTTTAAAAATAATATTTGTGAAAGCTGATGGCAACAATATATCATTTTAGACTAGGAAAAACTACTAGCGAAATAATTTCCCACCGCCTTTTACTTTTTCGTACATGTATAGGAGATTAATCACTTTATTGCTGTTATCCAGTAATATAAAATCTTTTTCGGGATAATTTTAATCGTTTACCTATGTAAAGCTCTGACTTTGCTGTGTCTTTGTCCCACACAGTTACTTCTAATGTTCTTTTCAACATATCTTGGGGATCCACTTCAAATGCAAATTGCTAAATTAAGAAATACAACATTTTATTAAATAAAGTAAACAATATATTGCAAAATAATAGTACGATAAAATTCCTATATTTGTTTCTAATTTCGCAAATTTGTTTGTCATCAAATTAGTAAACCCACGATTATCCACGGTATTCTTCGTGGTTACCGTATATAATCAGAATACTTTTTGTGTTACTTTTCGTTTTCTTGCTCTTTTTATAAATGAAAAAAAAAAATCACTAAAAACATTAAGAAAATTGGTATTAATTCAAAATATCACAGAATTTATTCTCGTGCTGACAATACTTCGTGGTACCATACCTCAGATGAAGAAAATATCATCAGATAGATTATGGCAAGAACAAAATATCGCAAAATTGATTCTTGTGCTCACAATACATCGTGGAACTATACCTCAGATGAACAAAAATGTCACCAGATGGATTATGGTAAGGACAAAATATAGCAGAATTGGTTCTTGTGCTGACAATACATCGCAGAACATCGTAGAATACCTCAGATGAACAAAATGTCACCAAATGGATTATGGTAAGCACAAAATATAGCAGAATTGATTCTTGTGCTGACAATACATCGTAGAACCTCCTCAGATGAACAAAATATCATCAGATGGATTATGGTAAGGACAAAATATAGCAGAATCGGTTCTTGTGCTGACAATTCATCGTGGAACTTATACCTCAGATGAACAAAAATATCATCACATGAATTATGGTAAGGACAAAATAGAGCAGAATCGAATCTGGCCAGGGAAAAATATTGTCAGATGAAATACTAAGTTGGCAAAATATAGCACAAAAGAATCTAGCACAGGTAGGATTTACTATGGTCGCAATACTAAATATTCTAGAAATTATAAAATTGAGTATATTAATTGTATATTAACTGTTGCGTACATTAATTATTTTATCGTTGAAAATATTAAAGGAAAAGAAGAATTAAGTTGAAATATTGTGGGATTCTTTGTTCTGCTATCGCGGAACCGTACCTTAAATAAACTAAATATCATCAGACGGATTATGGCAAGGACAGAACATAGTAGAATTGAATCTTGCCTGAGAAAAATATTGTTAGATGGAACATTAAGTTGGCAAAGTATCGCGGAACAGAATCTAACACAGATAGAATTTACTACGATCACAATACTAAATACTGTAAAAGTATTTAAAAATTGCGTAGATTATTTGTATTAAAATTGTAAATATTAATTGCGTTTAAAAACTGCATTTAATAATTGTATTTAAATATTGTTTATACCTATTATGACAAAAAACTGTATTTTGTATACCGCTGTTTTATTTAAGAACAAGAAAACTATAAAAATTATCTTATTACTACCTAAAGTTTAAGCCAATATTCTGTTAAAGCTTAAACGATTGATTTTTAATTTTGAAGCATATATGTTTATTATTATATATCATATAATTTTTTGTGTGTATTAAAACATAAAATGGTAGCAAAATGTATGCTTTATTTTTGGTTATTGAATTAATAAACGATTTTAAGTGATTTTTGTCATCTTTGTATTTAAATAATTCAACGGCACATATGAAAGGTCGGATAAAGTTTTCTTAAAAATGTTGGGAAAAATATTTTATAAACGAATTACGTATTTAGCTATTATTTTACTAACACTTAAAATATTACAGGGTAAATATTGGCACCTTTTCAATCATAAATGTTTTTATTTCTTTAAATTTGGTTAGTTTTTAACACGAAGCTTGAAATTTCTTCATTTTTAATAACGTATTTTTAAAGCAGGATATTTTTAAATTGGGAATTAGTGATAGAACTTTTATTTATTTAAGATTTATTTATTATTTAACACAATTACAGGCCAATTAAAATCCAATTTAACTACGATTGTTAAATTTTTTTGTTATAATCAACATGATTGTTAAATTCTTTCGTTAATTCTTCCGTTAATTATAATAGAGTATGCTAAAGAAAACATAAATATAAAAATAGTTAAAAAAATTAGGTTACGGCAAACTAAAAATTTTAACTTAAAACCTTAAACATAAACATATTTCTTTTTTTCGGTAGCAACATTTTTAGCACAAGTGATGCTAAATTCAATGTTTAAAAATTGCAAAGGTTATGTAAAACTTAAGTAACTTAACATTAATATTATAAGAAATTTTTTTTATATTCATACTTTAGTGCATTAGTTTGTCATTAATCTATACATAACGCCATGTTATTACTATATATTACTATATAGAGCTATATATTAATCTATACATAAGTCTGAATAAATAAATAGTATTAAATATTATAAAATTATCATAATTATTCATTATTAAATAATGCACAAACCTCGTTGTATTCTGGATTTAGTGTTTTTTTCTTTATCGACGTTTTAAATCGACGTCGCACTGGGTCAGGTTTCATTTGTCTAGAACAAAAATGAAAGTAAAATAAATAATTTGATTAAATTTAAAATGTCAATTTTTAGATATTCTTAAGTGCCAATTAAGATAACATAAAAAATACTACTTTGTTTAATTACTCTAGGGAACAAATTTATCTTTAGTTTCTGTTGCAGGAATTTTTTTAAGAGACCATAGGTACTTTCGTATCGCTGATTTGAAATCTTTAATCGTTTTTCCTCTCCAAGCAACGTTTTTCTATTTTTATTTTTAAAAGACATTTTTTTGTCTATATTTTGTCGAAATGTACAAGTTTATTAACGAGAGATCGCATAAATGTTGAAACAAACTTATAGGTGAGTTAGGGCAGATCATCAGGATCAAAATTGCACAGGAACCCATGCCCGGAGATGTCATACGCCGCTAGGGGCCTATTATTAACTGTTTATTCGTGTGCTTCAAAACAGGTCATAAAAGGGTAGCGCCCCTTGCTGCGTGCATGATTTCTGATGCATTTGGGATTAAAGTTGCATGGTTTGCGTAAGTTGCATGGTAAAGTTGCATGCAGTTTTAATCCTGATGATGCGTGCTAATAACTCAAGTAGTTTGTCGCAAAATTTACACGACTCCCAGCTATATATAACGTTTTTAAACTTTGCCCAATTCGAGGAAAAAATAGACTGAAAATATCACTTAAAAAAATCTTCAGCTTAGGGAACAAATTGATTTCAGATTTGAAATTACCACACCTGAATTCGGTAAAAAATATTCGTATAAAGGCAACAAAAACTTTGTTCCCCAGTTTTATTAATGCACACACAGCGTTAGATTATAAACAGTAATAACAATAAATGTTGATCTAGTGACTAATATTTTAAACTGCGAAATGAGATTTAAAGAAAAAAAAAAAAACGTTTTCTGAATAAATTTCCCTTTTTTAGGGTGGATTTGGATTTTTGAGCCTGAAAATTATGAGGGGGGGGGGAGGAAGCAGCAATATTGAAAATATGGTTCGAATAGTTTAGGCAAGAGAGTGGTTGAAATTTTGAATCTCTTAATCTTATTTTTACTTTTTGTGTATTTCGCTGTATGTCTGTGACTAATAAAATGATCCAAAGAAAATAAAGGTTTTTAATTATAAAAGAATTTTTATCGAAAGATAATTCCACGTAAGAAGTTAATTTTTATAGTTATTTATATTTTTTTATTATTTAATTTACCTGCGAATCGAAAAGTTTTTAAATTTTAAGCATTATTGATTTTTACACCATTGGAAGGTGCGCAATTTAAAATTATTAAAAAAAATCGAAGTGAAACAATCTAATGAATAATCCTCCATGCCAACCTTTGATAAAAACCCACCAGTTACCGTACTAATCATTCCAATTAACGATTTTTATATACTATTATGGCAAG